ATGTATTTTCTTGATAAATAACCATGTAAATAAATATTAATTAACTTTTGTTTTAAAAAGTTGTAAGCAACGTCACAGCTGTTGTTGATGCGGAATTTTGTGTAAATTAAAATCCATTATGAACGTTACTCGTCTAAATTAAACAAAACCAAATAAAGATTTATTAGGGATTTAAATTGTCAAACAATAAATTACAACTGCATATTTTGTTTACAAAAAATTTACTTGCTTTATGTTGAAGGGTTGTCATACATTTATAGGTTATGTACACAATTTTACATCTACTACTTTTCGAAAAATAACTTATACTTATGAATATACAAATAATAAAATGCATATTAAATATCCCCATTAAACATTTGTATTCAAATTATATAAATATTAATTAATAATCTTTCATTATACATAAGGTGCTTCTATACCTCCGGTGGATTGGTCAAGCAATCGGCTTGATGAATTTTCACGGTCGGAAAATGTACTTTCATGGCGGGTATTTTTGAAAAAGTAAATGTTGAAAAGGTTTTTACTTGAAAATTTATTTTAAAAAATGATTTTATCATAGAAATTATTTTGAAAGTAATGTTAAAAAACATGTTTTATTTTAAAAGTTATCAAATTTTAATTCAAAATGTTTTAATTTTCCAAAGAAGTGTAAAAAGCCTAATGTTTTTGAAATGCTAGTACAGACGGTACAGACGGTACAGACCACGAAGTAGTATAAGGAGACCTCACGCGGGTTTAAAATCAGCCTGCATTTGGGGGATCAGAGTTATGAGTGTTCTCACAACGTTCAGAGGTTGCGCCTCTGTGGTGGAAATTTGGTATTAAAATATCGTCTGCTTAAAACTTATTCTGTACTTTACATTTTCTCCGCATGAGCGCGCTGCCTCTGAACGTTGTGCAGATTATATTTTCTCATAGTAACTCTGATCCCCCAAAATGATGCTGATTTTTGTCACTATAACTATTGGCGTTGGGTCTCCTTATACTACTTCATGGTACAGACTGTTTGTTATGAATGTACATAACCTAGCGTAGTGTTATCGTGCTTGTGATATTATTATATTCTAAATTTAATGATTTAATTATATTAAATAATAATGAACAGACAACACAACGCTAGGTTATGTATATTCATAACAAACAGTCTGTACCGTCTGTACTAGCATTTCAAAAACATTAGGCTCTTTACACTTCTTTGGAAAATTAAAACATTTTGAATTAAAATTTGATAACTTTTAAAATAAAACATGTTTTTTAACATAAATTTCAAAAAAATTTCTATGATAAAATCATTTTTTTAAATAAATTTTCAAGTAAAAACCTTTTCAACATTTACTTATTCAAAAATACCCGCCATGAAAGTACATTTTCCGACCGTGAAAATTCATCGAGCCGATTGCTTGACCAATCCACCAGAGGTATAGAAGCACCTTTATACAATTTCACACAAAATTCTGCATCAACAACAGCTGTGACGCACTGATCTCTATATACCTCTGGATTGGAAATGCTATGAGCAGAACTTTTACCACGGCGGCCATCTTTCATTGTAGTAAAAGTACAAAATTATGGCGCGAAAGCCTTGTATTTTAAGTAATAATAATAATGATAATAATAATTATCAATTATAACATTTTATATTCTATACATGAGTTGTTTATTCATACATCTACTTACAATAAAAAAGAAATTAACTTTGTAATATGAAACAAGGCTTTCGCGCCATAATTTTGTACTTTTACTACAATGAAAGATGGCCGTCGTGGTAAAAGTTCTGCTCACAGCATTTCCAATCCAGAGGTATATAGAGATCAGTGCTGTGACGTTGCTTACAACTTTTCAAAACAAAAGTTAATTAATATTTATTTACATGGTTATTTATCAAGAAAATTCATCTTCCTATTGTAAATCATTAAAAAACAATATTCATCTAATAAAAACTTGATTTTTCTTACTTAAAACAGTGTTAATTCATTTTAATAAAATATAAATTTTTAAATTCCCGCTAGAAACAGTTTTTCCATTATATCGGAAAAGCGAAGTGTAAACGCGATTTTGACTTTTTCGGTAAATTTTTTTTCTACCGACCGTCGTATAAATGTACCCTAAGGGAGCATTTACACCTTTGGTAAAAATTTCAGGAACGGAAAATTTTTTATTGGAGTAAGAGAGACAGACTGTGTATCTGACTCTCTTACTCCAATGCAAATTTTCCTTTGTGGACATAAAGTGCGCCTTTATACGTATAAAACTGTATAAAACTGGGTAAAATACATAATCATGATGGCAGACTTATTTTAACATATTTACCCTCTTTACCATAACCTCAAATGTTTGTTATTTATTATTTATATTCCCATTATTCCTATATTTAAATTTAAAACAAAATTTTAATTGATAAAAAAAGTTTTGCACTACTATGACACTAGTGAATATAGGTTATGTTGAGACGCCTGTTTATCCCCGTTTATGCAAATGCTCTAATAGTCATTTGATCTAATTTAAAGGTTATAAATATTAAAATGATCTAAAGAACATTGAATATAATGTGATTTTATATAAAAGTCTAATTAATAAAATGAGTTTATTCTATAATTTATTTTTAAGCCAATAATCAAAATATCCAATTCGCATTTTCTATAATCATAAGCAATTATAAAATTTTTTCACGCAAACTTTCAACTGATAAAATAGTTGTATAAGCCAAAGTTTATTTTTTATAATTTTATAATAACCTAATTTTAAAGTGTTATAATTTTTAATTTGTATAAATTGTAATTTAACAAATGTCTGTCAAATCTAAATGTAGTAAAATATAATTTATTTAAATAAAATATCTTTTTTAAAAAATGCTAACAACCTCGAATCGTCAATTGATCAAATATTCAAAACATCTAATCGTCATTTCGTCCAATGCTAAAAACATCGAATCGTCAAATGGTCGAATGCTTAAAACATCGAATCGTCAATTGATCAAATATTCAAAACATCTAATCGTCATCTTTAGATCATTTTAATATTTATAACCTTTAAATTAGATCAAATGACTATTAGAGCCAGGGAGTAAGACTAAGGAGACTGAACTAATGCTATGGAAGTGAAACCATTCGTCGCATTGAAACTATACGTAAGACTGAAAATTATGGTTTTCGCGCATGCGCACATGCAATATATTTGTCTCTGTCTTTCTCAGTAACTCAGATGCGACTGAGAAAATCATTATAAGCTACAAGTTGAGAAGGTTATGTTTAATGTTTGTGAATGTTGTGCGTTTCAGGAAATATTATTAATAATAACTATTAGTAAATTGAAAAAAAAATTAATTTAATGAATATAAATGTGCATACAAAAATATATACTAAAGAGTGTATATTTTTCAGTGATAAGTAATATATTAATAATATAATGAAATATTTATAAATGTTCAGAATCAATTTTTTTGGTATATAACTACAAAGTGTTTTATTCTTTGTGGAAACAATTGAACAATTCCTAAATAAATAATATTTACGAATTTGTAATTTACTTTAATTATATACTTTATAAATAAACAGCTTTAAATGTCACATAAAAGTTATCAATAAGTTAATTTATTCGTTTGTCGATCATTGTAATATGATGTTTTGCATCCTGGTATGCAACAAACCATAATTTTGAAATTTTATTTTAGGAATCATATGTCAAAACATAACCATAACCTATTGATAAGTTTTTGTTCTCTCACTTGCTTATATTTTACGATATAAAGAGAGAGAGCAATATGCGCATGTACTGCGCATGCGCGCGGAGCATAAGTTTTGTCATTCTGCGAGTATAGTTCCCCTACAGAAAAAGGTTTCATTTTTGAGAGACTTCACACAGTCAGTTCAGTCTCCTTAGGCTGGAGTCCCATGACAGCGTTTTGCGTTGCGTTTTGTAACTAGGCCATGAGTGTGAGAGAGATACAGATATAGGTTTGCTCTATTTGCACTCATTGCCTAGTTACAAAACGCAACGCAAAACGCTACCATGGGACTCCAGCCTTAGTCTTACTCCCTGATTAGAGCATTTGCATAAACGGGGATAAACAGGCGTCTCGTTATGTTGTATGCTTATATATACATCATATACATATATTACTGTGACGGCTATGATTAAATTTCTAAATAAAAGAAATTAAATATGTAAAGATTTTAATTAATAAACATTTTATTTTACTATTAACAAAACGATAAAAATTTTTTTAATTTAAAAACAAAGAAATTTTAAAATACCACCTTTGAGTTACTGAGTTACGTCATCACATGTAATATACATAATGTAGAAATCCTAGGACGTAATATACGTAGTATTATACATGTATAAGGGTGAAGTCCCATTGAACCGTTTTGCGTTGCGTTTTGCAACTAGGCCATGAGTGCAAATAAAGCCAACATATATCTGTATCTCTCTCACACTCATGGCCTAGTTACAAAACGCAACGCAAAACGCTATCATGGGACTCCAGCCTGAGGCCGCAGTCCCATGGCAGCGTTTTGCGTTGCGTTGTAATGAGAGAGAATGCAGCAAACGTATATTTGCGTCTTTTTCTCTCCCATTACGACGCAACGCAAAACGCTGTCATGGGACTCCACCCTGAAACCACGTATTATACATCATGTATTATACGCACCCATCCCTGAATTCTTGATTTCCGCACCTACGAGATTTAGAATTTTTTAAAACGAGAAATATAAGTTAAATAACTATAATTTTTTATTTATTAAACACGTACAATATGAAAGTAACTATTTGAATTTGTTTGGTTAACAGTAATACCTACATTTACCCTATTATTTATAATATTTGTTTGTTAAAAATTGTTAATAAATTGTTTATTTAATAATTGTTAATTGCTACATTTTAAACTTAACGCCAAATAGTAAGGACGCACTCTAGTGAGAGTTTGCACACCTAATGATTGCGTCGTACCAGTAACCAGCCGTACGCAGGAGTTGTCAATCAAACTTAATTTATACTTCGTGCTTCTCCGTGTGTTAGTCAACGTGAGTTTACTGTGACGATTGTGACGTTTAAAAACGCATTACTTTAAAATATTATATTTTCTAACTTAATAATGTTCTTGATTTTGTAAACAATATGTAAATAATTGCTTCATTCATGATTTGATGAAAGTTAACATTTACGAAGTGACTATTTGGCCCGTCGGCGGGCCATATAAGCTACTTTTTTTATTTGGCCCGCCTGCTTTTTTTAATATTTCAAAGCGGGCCAAATAATAAAAGTAACTTATTTGGCCCGCCAGGTAAGAAAATAAAAGCGGGCCAAATAGAGAGTGGTATATTATTTGGCCCGTCACAAATAAAAATTGCTTTTTTTTATCTGATCTTCAGTTAATAATAAAATTAACTATAAAAGAAATAATAGTAAGTGCATTAACATATTTTTTGCTTTTTATATCGTGAATTAATTTTTTTTTTGCTTTAAGAATGTAAATAATATTTTTTTTATGTTATTAACCTTAAAACACTTATGCGTAAAAAAAGTGGTAAGCATCCCAAAAATTGTCTTTATTAGCGGGAATTTTAAATCAAAATTTTTCTCGTTGTTAGATCAAAATTATTTGTTCAATTTATATTCTTTTTTGAAATCATATTAATTTGCAAAAATTGTAATATACATTTCATAAAGTCAAGATGAATGAAAACCTTTCCAATCGCCTTCTTTTATATTCTTGAAATAATCATTAATAACAAAAGTTTTACACCCAGAAAAAAGGTTCTTTGAATCAATGAAATTTGTGCAATGCTATAGAGTCACAAAAAAAGTTTCTTTGATTTAATGAAATTATTTCTTTAACTGTTTTTTGTTAACTCAAATAAATATTTCTTTGGATTTAATAAATCTTTCTTTAAGTCAAAGACATAAATAATTCAAAGAGATAATTCCTTAAAATGTTCTTGGCCATTTATTTGTCTTAAAGAAATTTTTCTTTGGATCAAAATATTTATTTTTTTTAATTAACTTTTTAAAGCAAACGATATAAAAAGCAAAAAATATGTTAATGCACTTACTATTATTTCTTTTATAGTTAATTTTATTATTAACTGAAGATCAGATAAAAAAAAGCAATTTTTATTTGTGACGGGCTAAATAATATACCACTCTCTATTTGGCCCGCTTTTATTTTCTTACCTGGCGGGCCAAATAAGTTACTTTTATTATTTGGCCCGCTTTGAAATATTTAAAAAAAGCAGGCGGGCCAAATAAAAAAAGTAGCTTATATGGCCCGCCGACGGGCCAAATAGTCACTTCGTAACATTTATTGTTAAAGAAAACGCAACAATGGCAAGTGGAGAAAGCGGGGAAAAGAAAATCTCTTTTGGCTTTTCAAAGTCAATAAAGAAGCCTGTTTTAAACAAAAATCCTCAACCAGAGAAAAAAGTTGATTACATTGAATGCCTAGATGAGAAATCAATTAAAGTTGTAGGGTAAATATTTTAAAAGATTTATAAACCTTATTTTAAACACTGCGTCTATACGTCCGACTAGCCGGATAAAAAAATTTGTCCGGGTACTGTTAGCCGGACGCAATAAATTCGTCCGGATACTGTCTAGCCGGACGTTTTGCTGCATAACACAGCTGGGTCTAAACGTCCGGCTAGTAAAATACTAACTAAATAGCCGGTCAGCCGGATAAAATGTTTAGAGTCTAAAACGTCCCGATAAATTAATGAAAGAAATTTTATCTGTATATAGTAAAAATGAAACTGAAGTTAACAATGTTGATTCAACGAAAAAATGTTTCTCTGAAAAGTTCAGGATACAAATTTTTCTTAATAAAATTGTTCATGTAAACGATGGGGAAACATTAGTTCGTATTTTTTTGTGACGGATTTTCTAAAAATCACGAAATTTCAACTAAAACCAAAATTATTGTTTCTTTGCCTTGAAAGCAATTTTTTTCTTTTCACGATTATCTATTTTAATGTCAGAAACCATTTAGAAAAAATTTCAAGAGGATGTAAGGCAGGGAATGCAGTGAATTTGAATTTTTTTTTGTCACAGATTTGACGAAAATTCCGAAATTTCAAATAAGTTGTTAATTTATTTTAATTATTTAGTTTAATTAATTTTCTTGACTTGGAAGCAATTTTTTTCTTTTGATAATTATTTATTTTAATATCAGAAGCAATTTTAAAAAGATTTTAAGAGGATCTAAGGCGGGGAAAGCAGTGATTTTGTATTTTTTGTCGTAGATTTTCCAAAAATCCCGGAATTACAATTAAAAAACAAAAATCACTTCTTTTCCCGCCTTGAATCCTCTTGGACTTTTTTAAATGGCTTCTGACATTAATATGTTAAGTCTAAATGTAATAAAATATAATTTATTTAAATAAAATAATTTTTTTGAAGAAGAGTAATAGATAAATGTTACAGTTACTATAAAAGTTTAATCAAAATTATAATGTTGAATAATTTGAAACCCGTGTAATCCTGAAGAAGATGAAAATTCAACTGGTAAAATTGTTATATATTCTATATTATCTAGTTGTCATTTATTCAAATGCTGAATTTTTCAAAAGGTAACTTATTAAAATATTTATGTTATGCAAAACTTTATTTTCTCGAACCATTATTAACTCAAATTACCATAAAATATATTTTTTAATGTTTATAAAAATGTCATATGACATAATGTTTACTGTAACAAATGTTAATTGCAAATAATTTTTTTATACTCGAATTACCACTTTTACAATGTTAAAAAATCCAAATGGAGTTTTAATCTAAAAAAATTGACTACCAATTATTATTACAATAATTGACTACAATATTTTATAATGAAGAATAGTCAATTCTTTAACATTGTAAAATTGGTTATTCGAGTATAAAAACATTATTTGCAATTAACATTTGCTACAGTAAACATTCTGTCAAATGACATTTATAAAATAATATTAAAAAATATATTTTATGGACATTTGAGTTCATAAATGTTCGAGAAAATAAAGTTTTGCATATCATAAATATTTTAATAACTTATCTTTTGAAAAATTCAGCATTTGAATAAATGAATAAATTTCAAATTATTCAACATTATAATTTTGATTAAACTTTTATAGTAACTGTAACATTTATATAGAACTATTACTCTTCTTCAAAAAAATTATTTTATTTAAGGGTTAACACCACTCTAGAGGCAGAAAAGAAGACCAATTTTTGATGATTTGTTTTGGGAAAATGAAAAAAGGAATAGGTTTTCTTTTTGGAGGGTTTGTTAAATACATATTGAAGTGTAGAAAAAAATTTTTATTTTAAATTTTATAACAAAATGGCGACGATAAATTTTATAGTAACAATCGACTAATCTTTTTCTTAACAAAACGTCCAGAAAGAGTTTTTGAAAAGTTCAAGTCCTGGAACAGAAAACAAAGAAATTTCATGATGTATATAATATACACGGAGAAAAATATAAAATAACTTTTACTACTTTTATAGAAAAAAATTTCCGGTAAATTTTTTACTATAAAAGTAGTAAAAGTTATTTTATATTTTTCTCCATGTAAACTTTGGAAGTGCATAAGGGTTTTTTATATATCAATTTTTGTAAAAATCGCGCACTTTTGGGTACAATAATCGATTTTTTGCCAAAGAGTAATAAAAAGTAAATTGTTTATAAAAAATAAAGTTTACATCAAATTAAAAAATCTGTATGTAGTTCCAAAGTTTATAGTATTTAGTTTGTAAAATTTCTTTACTTTTTGTTCCAGGACTTAAACTTTTCAAGAAACCTTTCCGGCCATAAAAAATAGTCGATTTTGAATATGAAATTTACCGCCGCCATTTTGTTATATAATTTTAAAAAAAAATTTCCACACTTCAATATGTATAATTAATAAATCCTCCAAAAAGAAATCCAATTCTATTTTTCATTTTCTCAAAATAAATCATCAAAAATATAGGTCTCTTTTTCTGGCTCTAGAATGGTGTTACCCTTAAATAAATTATATTATTCAGTAAATGCGAATCGGATAATTTGCTTATTTGCTGAAAAATAAATTCTATGATAAACTCACTTCATTAACATTTAAAACTTTTTAAATGGATAAAACTACGATTAGAACTTTTTAAATTCCGGAAATACACAGGCGTCCCAAAATATTTTTGTGAACAATAATTTTTTTAAGACTTACAATCTTTAAAAAATATTGTATTCTTAATTTATAGACATTTTTTAAATAAATAAATAAAAAAAAGATATATACATAAATAAATGTTAGTCTTCTATTTACATTATTTATTTAACAAATATGTGTTTGTAAACTCTGCATAGAATATATTTTGATGTTTATTTATCTGAAAAAAATTTATTATAAAATATTTTTTGTAAATATTTATAAAAAACCAAAAAATTAACGGAGTGTCTATTTGGCCCGTCAGCGGGCCAAATAAGTTACTACTTTTATTATTTGGCCCGTCACCCCAGTTCCATACATTTCAAGACGGGCCAAATAAAAAAAGTAGTTTATTTGGCCCGTCAGATAACAAATTAGCTGTAATTAATAACAATAGATTATTATTATTACTATTTTTACAAATAGATTAATTTAATCACCAGGTACTATTTTTTACATGAATTTGACAGGTAATGTAATAAGAAAATTCTTCTTAAAAATTTTAATAAAATTCTTTGAAACGATTGAATTATTTTTAAAAAACAAACGAATTTTTCACAAAAAAATAAATTATTTTAGCAAATAATCAAATTCTCTAAAACTCAATTAGTTTAAAAATCTACTATTTTAATACAATTTCACGAAAGAATTTAATATTATTTATAAACAAAATTTTGATAAAATTCTACGTGAGGTGAGAATTCAATTATTTTCATAAATAAATACATTTTTCGCAAGAGTTCAATTATTTTTATAAAGAAAAAAATTATTTTCAGAAATTCAGTTATTTTAAAAAATTTAAATAAAATCCTTCTCAAACATTGAATTATTTTTATAAATATTAAAATTTTCACAGCAATTATAACTCTAAAAAAATTTTATAAAGTCCTTTGGAAGAATTCATAAACAAAATTTTAAGAAATAATTAAATTAAAAAAAATCGCACAAATCCAAGACTTTCTCATTTTTTTATGAGAATGTAAAAATTGTATACTTCGGAAATTTTCATTATTGTAAAAATAATATTTTAATTTTTATATTTTTAAAAAGTTAAATTTTAGAATAATTACAGTTAAAGTGAGAAAAAGTGAAATTATTGAAAAAGTAAATAAGTATTTAAATATTTATTTAACTATGAATAAAAATTAGCCTTTTCAAGAAAAGCAATTGAAATTTTTTTTAGTTAAATTCCCGTAAATAATTTTAAAAAATGAAATTGGAAATTGGAAATTTTCATTGATATTTTATGATTTATGATTCATTTATATTTTAAAGAATTTTATTGTTTACTTTTAAAAATTATTTTTAAATATAATTTATAATATTATGTACTAAATATGTTTATAATTTGCATCTTTACTTTGAGGTTAAAATATACATTACCTGCATGTCAAATTCATGTAAAAAATAGTACCTGGTGATTAAATTAATCTATTTGTAAAAATAGTAATAATAATAATCTATTGTTATTAATTACAGCTAATTTGTTATCTGACGGGCCAAATAAACTACTTTTTTTATTTGGCCCGTGTTGAAATGTATGGAACTGGGGTGACGGTCCAAATAATAAAAGTAACTTATTTGGCCCGCTGACGGGCCAAACAGACACTCCGAAAAATTAATATAATAATTATAGAATGACAATAATTATAATTGTTATTACTATTATTATGCATATTATGTTTTCGCATTTAGTTATCAAATTAATTTTATAATTCATAACCTAAAAATGTCAAAAACATTCAAGGAATATATTATACTTGTAAAAATCTAATAGACGGACGAATTATAAAGTTCATTATTTTATCCGGATACTGTCAAACGCTTATCACCAGTACATACAGTAAATAGCCGGATGAAATATTTTGGGAGCTATATGTCCGTATATCCGGACGTTTAGACGAAATATTTCGTCCGACTAGCCGGACGTATAGACACTTCGTATTTTAAAATACGGAATTGCACATAACCTCAATGATAACAAACCTATGAATTATTGTTTTCATATAACATGAAAGAAAACAATTAAATTATTATTTTAGAAATACAGTAAATTTAAATCAATATTTTATTCCAAACAGGACATTCTGTAATTTCTCGAAATAAGTACATAGATATAAATTATAATTTCATTTTTTTAATGTTGACAGAGTGGCCACATGTCAGTAAAGTCAGGAAAAAAAATTTTTGTCAGTAAACTCATGGAAATGTCAGGAAAAAAAATTTTGTCAGTAAAGTCAAGGAAATGTTAGGAAAAAAATTTTTTGTCAGGGAAATTAAGAAAATTGAGACTTTTTTCGGCTTATTTTAAAATATTGCGATTTTTTCGACTTTTCTTCCCAGCCTTGCAACAAAATACCCCAATTTTTAGTAAAAAAGTGCAACTTATTTTGATTTTTATAATGCGAAAAATAACTATAAACAAATCTTTCAAAAATTGTTTTTGAATCATTTTTTAACATAATTAAATTTTTCAAATATATCTATAATAAAAATCTTTTTGAATAGTTTAAATTTTGTAAAATTTGATGGAAAGTAATTAATTTATTTTAAGTACTTTGTTACACTTTTTAAAAATCAATTTTGGAAGAATAAAAAATCTTTAAAGGTAAATTTAAAAATGAAAATTAATGAAAATTAGCTTCTAATTTTTTAAAATTCAGTATTTTAAATAAAATATTTCCAAAAATTCAAATACATACAAAAATAATAACATTTTAGAATTATTTTTAACATTTTGGAGAAAACAATCTTGTTCCAAATTTTTAATTAAAATTCATCAAGAAATTAATTATTTTTTTTTAAACTATACAAAAATTCTTTTAAGAAATTCAATTATTTTCGAAAAATTACATTATAATATTCTTAAAAAATCTAATTATTTTTATAAATAACAATATTCATCACAAGAATTCAATTATTTTTAAAAGGTTTTACCAAATTTTAATTGTATGGAAATTTTCCAATTTAAAAAACTATTATCTTTCAAAAATTATTTTAAAATATTTAAAAAAAAATTAATTGTTAGAATTTCTTTATTATATTTTTTTGAAAATATACCTTAATAACTTAAGAAAAAACAAGTACAGTTACAATTATTATAAAAAATTAAGTTTTTGTATTTAATTTTAAATAATTGAATTTATTCTAGAAGAACTTTCGGAAAATTATTTAAAATAATTGATTTAGAGATGAAGTTTAATTGAAAATTGTAGAAAATAATAGAATTCAGATAATTATAACTTTTAGAAATTATTAAAATTCATAAAAATTACTTATTTTCCGCAAACTTTCATATTTTCCTGTAAAAAGAATTCTGTCAGGAAAAATAATTTTAATGTCAGTAAATTGTCAGGGAAATTGATAAACTGAAACTTGTGATTACCCTGGTTTTTATAACAATTTTTTTATTTACAGGGGAGAAGAAAAAAAGGATGAACCTCTTATCATTCCTATGCTGGGATCGAAAACATGGCATGATCGAATTTTAAATAAAGTTAATGCAGATATTTTTGAGCCGAAAGTGGAACCAGTGACAAATGAAAACGCAATTAATGTGAACATTAAGCAAGAAATAATTGATGAAACTAATGATAATGGAGTTGTACCTGAATCCGATATTCCACAACCAATGGAAATTGTAACTGTAAAAGAAGAAAATCAGAATGAACCTTTAAAAACCTTAGAAGAACAAGCTGCTTCCGAAATTTTACAGGATTTGAAACAGGAACAAGAAAATACAAAAGAAATTTCTGCTGTTCCTTTACCTACTGACGATTCTTTAGTAGGAAAACAAGAAGTAAGTATTTTTTTTTAAATTAAAGAATTCATTTTTTACTTAATTAACAATTTATCTGCAATTTCGATGTGCACAAATGTTTTCAATCACATTCATATAATGGAATCGCACTATTATAAATTACATGAACATTTTACAGTCTACACTTAACGACTATGAACAAATACCAATTGAAAAATTTGGAGAAGCAATGTTACGAGGAATGGGATGGCAACCAGGGAAAGGAATTGGTAAAAATCAAAAGTATGTAATTTTTGTACTCTTAAAAATATGTTTAAAAAATGAAACTTACTGTAAACAATTTGGCTTAAATAAGTAAATTCTATTTATCAGAATTGTAGCAGCAGTAATTCCAGAATTAAGACCTCGAGGAATGGGTTTAGGGGCAGACAAAATAACGATACAAAAGCAAATAGCTGCGTCCAAAGTAGCAGAAGAAGGAAATTTGAAACTTGTTAAGGGGGCTTTCATTAAAATTATTACTGGCAAACAGTCGGGTAACTATGGACATATCGAAGGACTCGACGACGACGGTGGCCGATTAATGATTAAATTAGCTCTTGGAGGAAGTATCATTTCAATCAATGAGTCTTTAGTCCAACTAGTTACAAAAGCTGAATTCGATAAATACTCAAAAGTGTTAAGTGAGTAATTTCAGTTAAAAGCTACAAATATGTCACCGCGTCTGAGAAAAGGGACCTTATGACGAAACTTAACTTTTCTAGTGAAATGCGTTTAAAGTTTTTCATTTAAATTACTGATTTTAAGCGAAAATACTTATAATCATTTTCGTCATAAAAAAAAGTATATTTTCATTGAATTTTTTTTTATTTGTTCAAACAATTGCAAAAAATTTTTTTTAATCCGCGAGTAATTGCATTACATTTTAAGGACTTTAAAGTATAAGAAACCGTCTAAATCTAAAAATAATTTTTTTTGATCATAAGGTCCCTTTTCTTAGATGCGGTCACATATAGGGACTTTTAATTAGATAAATTTGACATTCAAATATTTTAAATATATATTCTAAAAATTATTAATTTAGAAATAAGAAAAAATTATCTAAAGAATCCTATTAATACAAACGAAATTTTTTAAACTCGTCTAAAAAAAATTCTATCTATTTTTGTTCAAAATTTGATCTCTATTTAAAGGTCCCTTAAAGTAATTTTGAAATTTTACTTACCTCGCAGGCGTAGCGTTTAATATTTTTATAAAATGATTCCAGATTCTAAGAAGTATGAGGAATTTAAAAATAAAGAGACAAATGAAAATTCTGTCGCTGAGGATCGAGTAAATAGTGACAGTAGTACAGAAGAAAATTGGAAACGCGGAAGAGACAGGTATGATAAGTCTCGGGATCGAAAAAAATCAAAGAAGCATAAAACATACTCAAGTGATGACGATTCGGAATCTGATAAAAGATCTAGAAGAAGGAAAAATTCAGATGATAGTGATTCCGATTATAAGCGAAAGAAATCAAAGAAAACAAAAAAACACAAGACACGAGACAGTTCTTCAGAACGATCAAATAGGGGCAAAAGAAAACATAAAGAGAGAAACAGAGAGTCGAGAAACTCAAAAAAGGAGGAAAAATATAGAAATAGAAGATCTCGATCGCGTTCCCCTCGAAGGCGATAGCAGCAAACTGAGCATTAGTTCTTAAATTAATTTGATATATTCAAAGTCGTTTAGAAACAAAAAATTTCCAAATGTATTTCTTCCTTAATCGTCAAAGAGAAAGATGTATAAAAATACAAGTAACTGACTATTTATTACTATTTTTTTAATAAGAAGCTTAAGAATAATGACAATTTTCTTAAATGGATTTACCATTATGTTCACAAAAGATTGAACGTAATAATTTTATAATTCACATAACATTTTTAATATTTTCTTTAAATAAACCTTATTTTTTATACATGACTTTTTATACGAAATATCCAGATTTACATTTTCATTTGACACAAATTCTTTAAAGTAAAATATAAGTTTAAATCAAGAAATTAATTATGGAGAATTTTTGTTTACTTAAGAGGACTTTCTGGTGAAAAATTAATAAAAAAACGCACTTTTTTAAACTCTTATTTTAGAAAATGTATTATAGTTATTGCAAATATTCCTTTTGGATATTGTTACATATTACAAGAAGAGAATTTAAAAAAAACATTTTGAGTGTTTTTAGTTCATTTTCGCAACTGCAGGTGGCATCTAAAAAAGGTGCCTTTTATTCGGGGAGACAGTTTTCGGGCAACATGTTTTACATAAATTAAAAATTCAAACGGGATTCTCTTCATAAAGGTTTTTCTAGACAGTAAACATCAAAAATTATTTTTTTAATATTTTACAATTTTTTACACATTTATCTCAAAAAATCGAAAAAATTATTTGTTTTTGGATTAATTTACCCCCGTAGAAAATAACGGGGTAACAATGTGAAATTTTAGAGGTTTGTTGTCTAGTATTTTAGATAAAGCATCGAATGGTTTTTGGTTTTTTAAAATCGGTTCAGTAGATTTTGAGAAAAGTGTCTCGCCCTTTTCAAAAATGTGTTTTCGAGAAAATCGCTTTTAACATGTATTACAGTAAGTTAAGAAACAGTAATAAAAATTGCTATAACTTTTTTTCCTTTACATATTTTTTCAACATTGTTTTGAGACAGTAATTTTATGATATTAAGGAACATTTTAAAGCAAAACAAGAAAAATCTATTTATTTTAAATCCTTGACCAGAAAGTCCCATTAACAAATATTTCTCTAAATTTATTAAAATTAAATAAAAAATTAAAATATGTATTGTAAAATATTATTTTCTAATAAAAAGGCTTTTAAATAATTGATTTTTTTCGACTAATTTTATGCAAATTCTAATTTAAATAATTGAATTTTTGAGAAATTTTTATTATTCACGAAAAGGATTGAATAATTTTTACGAAGATTTTTACAAAATTTTTTTTCTTAATTCAATTCTGTTTGGAAATGTTATAAAAATAGTAAAAATTGAAAATCATAGAATAGCGAAAAGTTTTTAAAAATAATTTAATTTTACAAAGAATTCAATTAACATTTTTGACAATAATTGAATTCTGGCGAACGATTTTGTTATATTTTTTAAATAATTGAATTTTCAAAAAGAAACATTACTTTTTAAAATATTTGAATTCTTGTGATGAATATTGTTATTTATGAAAATAATTGAATTTTGCAAAGAATTTTATTAAAATGCCTCAAAATAATTGAATTTTCGGGAATAATTTTGTTATTTATATAGACGTAATTAAATTCTTTCAAAGAATTATTTATATAAATAATTGAATTCTTGGGAAGAATTTTGATAAAATCTAAAAGAATAATTAAATTATTTCAAAAAAAATTTAATTAATAAAATTGTATTTAAAATAATTGATTGCTTTCGAACAATTTTATTAAAATATTTGAAAATAATTGAATCGTTTTAAAGAATTTGATTATAATTTTTTAATTTCTAGTATTAAATGTTAATTAATTCTTTTTAAAGGATTACATTTAATATTTAATGCTTCTTTCTGTGTAATTTTGATTTTTACATCTTCACGTATTATATAGGATTTTTATACAAAATAGTTTAAATAAAGATTTTAACAGAAAAGAAATTATAAAATATATTTTAAATGATATTTATAATAAAGTTATTAGTGTTAAATAAGCGCAAAGAAAAATATAAATTAAATATTTTGAACTCAACTTAATTTATATTTAATTAGTTTCCTTAATTTTTGAAATATTGTTATCATAGTTGACTTTGTTATCTTATGACTTTATAATCATAAGACGAATTTCTTTACCACAAACCACGTGATAACAGTAATCAGAATACATAAAAATCGTGTAAAACTTTGAGTTCCAGTTACACCTAACATAACCTTAGGGATATGCTACAAAATAACATCACGAGACGAATAATGACAAGTACGTAATTTTTATCAAACGCATTATTATTAGGTTAAAACTTATTGTACAATTAAATAAATTGCTAAGTATACTTTGTTGAAAATTAATTTTTTATTCTAATAAAGTTGTTTGCAATTTTAATTATATTTTTACAATTTTATTAATTGAGGCTCCGGATCTTAAAAGGGCACTTTTACCATTTAAAATCAATGCTAAAAGTGCCCTTTTAAGCTTCGGATCCTCAATTATTCATATCTTGAATAAATTATTTTTTATTTATAACTTATAATACATTATTAAATATATTTATTTAATAATAATTAATTATTTTTTTATTGCTACTTGTTATTTTTCTATAAATATTTACGATTATATATTTAGTTACAATTCTTTTTTACAGAATTGCGCTTAGGACTAGTTCAACTTGCAGTTGGAAATGAAAAATCTGAAAATGTAAGGAGAGCAATTTCATTTATTGAGGAAGCAAAAAAAAAGGGAGCTGATATTGTCACTTTGCCAGAATGTTTTAATTCTCCGTATGGAACAGGTAAATTTAAATTAAATTACTTGCTAAATATTTTTTAATACTATTAAATTATTATTTATTATTTTTAAATAATTAGCACACTTTCCAAAATATGCGGAAACAATTCCCAATGGTGAAACAAGTAATGCATTATCAGAAGCTGCTAAAAAAAATAAAATTTATGTCATTGGCGGTACAATTCCTGAAAGAGATGATGATAAGTTGTATAACACGGCTACCGTTTGGGATCCTCAGGGAAAATTAATTGCAAAGTACAGAAAGGTAGAAGAATTCTTTCGATTTACAAATTTTATTATAAAACAGGGGCGTAGCCAGGGGGGGTTTGGGGATTCACCCCCCCCCCCCCCCGAAATTTTCGAAAAACATATGTAAAAGCCTAAATTTCTAATTTTATTCTGAGTACACCTCTTATCAAATTCCATAACCCCCTCCCCGAAACTTATTTTTGGCTACGCCCCTGTTACAAAAGGCGCATTTACTTTACTATTTTAACATGTTTTCATAATATTTATTACAAAAAAAAGTAATTAAGCTAAAATTTTAAAGATGGAAGTGCAATTGAAAACTGTAAATTAATATATGCTTGAAAGGAGTTTTGTAAAAATATATTTTGATTATTATTAATTTCGTGTTAAAAATATGTTAATGCTTTTAACTGTTTCTTTTTTAAATTAGTTTAATGATGAATAATCAAAATTTTTCAATACAAATTGAAAAACCACTTGAAACTTCATTTTGAAATATACCTAATATATAAAAATATATTTTAGATCCACTTATTTGATATTGATATAAAGGGTAAAATATCATTCCGAGAAAGCGATACTTTGAGTCCTGGAGAAAATTTAGCAACTTTTGTAATCGAAGGATGCAAAATCGGAATTGGTATTTGTTACGACATCAGATTTGAGGAACTAGCACGAATTTATAGAAATCAAGGTATTTTAAATCTACTTTAATAACATCTTCTAGAAGAAATAAACAAATATTGTAAAAAAATACACAAAACAGTATTTAGAAAATATGAGGTTGCAGTTTGCATAATTTTTAAAAACGAAATGAAAAATAATGAGACGATGTACATAAATTTGGCTTCAAATTTAAATTATTTGTACTTACAAATAATGTCCTCTAAGAAAAACTTGAAACAAAATTGTTCTCTAATTTTCCGTTTATAAAAACATTACGGACATACCCTCATTTGGAAAATAGTATATTATATGGTAATTAACATATATATAGGGCCATTAATATAAAAAGAAGCATTTTTTCAAAATTACAAAAAATTTTTTTTATTTAAAATTATTACAAAATGTTCACAGTGAGAGCCGTTTGCAACAAACGATTTTCTTAGGGCCTCCGCTGCACGCAGTATGCAGATTTTAAAAATTAATCTGGAACAAAATAAAATTTTTTCTCTTAATTTATATATGCCTGTAGAAATAGTTACAGAAATACGTTACCGACTTTAAGAATAAATATTTTTTTTAAATTAGTAAACTTTCAAAGTTAAAAGTCAAATTTTCAACCAAAAAATGGGTAAGGGAAGTGTTCCGGTTGTGGGCACCCTTTTGTTTTTGCCTCATAACATTTGTCCATGTGCATATTATACAAATGTATGTGTACGAATTTAAAGCTAGAGGTCTAAGGTGACTGTCAGTAAAGGAATTAAATTGATTCCTTTAAATAAAAAAGTTTTACATATTAGAAATTTAGTGAAATGGAAATTTTTTGACAAAAAAATTTTTGTATCCGGTTGTGGGCACCCTTGAAAAATCCGCTAAAAATGAAAAAATATTAAAGGAAACCAAAACAAATAAAGAAGAAATGAAAGTTTCTTTATTTTAAGAGACTTTGCCGGGATAAAGAACAAAAATGATGACACGTTTTCACACTATGCTCATCGCTAACAAAAGCATAATGCTTGCATGTGAAGTAGCTAGTACGCATACCATAAGGCGTCGAACAACAACTTTCGCGAAGATTTTAACGCACAATAAAGGCCTAAGCACAATAGATTCGCGAAAGTCGTTCGCGAACGCAAAGCATGAGTTAGAAAAGGACAGAGATATATTTGTGTCCTTGTCTATCTCATGCGTCTCAACGCGCTGATACTAACGCGCTCCTCCTATGTATTCCATATGGACGAGCGCGTTAATATCAGCGCGTTCATACCGACTTCGACTCTATTCTGGACTCTCCTTCACGTTCGCGAAGCTATTGTGCTTAGGCCCACTTAGGCCTTCACGCACTTCTAATGCACTGAACGACTATATTCATCGCATTTAATGGAGTTTGCGGCTGTCACTTTCCTTGGCAGAAAGTTTAGATAGATGAGACAGTAGTCCACATCATTGTCAGATGGTAGAGCCTTCTTAACATAAAGGTGCCCACAACCAGGAATGACAGTCATTTTTTAAAAAGATCAACACATTTTGTGATGCAGGATTTTGGTTAAACACGAAGGTATATCACAAAATATAATAACAACACTGAAAAAAAAAAAATTAAACCCTTTTTTTCTGAACGAATCTACACCCATATGTTGCTCTTCGAAAACAATACAAAATTACTTTTTTATTTATTTAATGCAAATTTTCTTTATTATGCTCACAGCTATTACACAAATGCATATATTTGTTTCGTTATCAATACGAAAAGTCCGTATTGTCAACGAACACGACTTGCAATACTTAGATCAGTAAAATCTGCTTGCTGTCAAAGTTTACGTAGGGGTGCCCACAACTGGCGCACTTCCCCTACTTATTTGTATGGGAAAAATAGGGATTTTCAACTTATCGAAAATTGGCTATACGTATTTCTGTGAGAAATGTTATTTCCAAGAATTAATATAATGTAAACTTTAATTTTTATAAACAATTTACAGCTTATATGTTTGTATTAAATTCATTGTTGCTATAAAAGCAGGGCTCGAACTAGGTCCGTAAATCCCGTAAAAAAGTCCGTAACTTTTCTTGAAGTCCGTAATTTTATTCAAAAAGGATGAAAAGTTCGTAAATGGATATAATTTGGATAATTTTAGAGAAATTAAAAATGATTGCAGAAATTCAATTATGTTCGAAAATTTGTAAAAATTCACATCAAAATTTCAATTATCTTTAGAAATAATTTTTTATTCTTCTCCGAACTTCAATTATTTTCAAAAATTTTCCTCAAGAGGGGGTAAAAGTTTTGGGTTTTACGGTACAATGCTTATTTTGATAATTTGTAACGGGTAATTTATAAGTTTCTTAAAATTAAGGAATGGAATGACTATAATGGGATGAAAGTACTACCCCAGCAACTGAACTAAAATAGATAACTAATGATACTAGTAAATTAGTAAAAACAAATTGACTGCAGAATTAAATATTTTATTTACTATAAGTAAATACGCTGAATAAAAAGTAGGACCGATTTCGGACTAATCCGGAATTTGTCCGCAACAGTAAGGTTTATTGTGGAGTTTTTTCACCCTGAATTAAGTTTAAAAAAATAATACCGTTTTTTATCACTATTGAATCCGTAATTAGTCCGGTTTAGTCTGCAGTTAGTCAGATCATATGCAACTAGTAAATGCAGAAGTAATCCGGTTGGTTTAACCAGTGAATCCGCAGCTAATCCGAAATAGTTTGCTTATGGACAGGTTTTTGTTCTAAAATCATTCCGGATTAAGTCTTTGAATTGGATTGTATTGAACTGTCTGTGGATTGTATATGTTACCGGCAAAACCCGAAGTCCAGGCAAAACGCGAATTGCCTTGGCAATTCGGGTTTTGCCTATGATTTTAGGAAATACCCGAATTTCCTAGAGATTCATAGGCCAAACCCAAATTGCCTAGGCAAAACCCGATTTCCCTAGGCAATTCGGGTTTTGCCAAGGCCGTTTTAGGCAAATTGAAAATTAAACTAAATTGAATTAAATTAAATTAAATTTATTGCAAAAAATATTACTATGACGCAATTGATCATAAGAAAATAGTCTTAGTTGAAAGAATTTCTTTTTCAATTTACTAAATGGCTTGTATTGAGGCATGCATTGATGTAAACAAATAGTAAACAAACTGTTCTTCATAGCTCACTATTAATTAGTGTCTCTTCTGACTTTAAATTGTACATACCATTCAAAATGAGTAACGAAAATTTTATTCAAAAATAGAAAAGCGATTTTTATGCGGCGGTTAATTTTTTTTTAAAATCAATTTTTGTACTCCCGCAACTTCTAAAATGTCATATCTTTTCAACCTTCTGTACTTAAGGCTACTTTTTACTACATTTAATTTTCCACTTTTCACATCCTTTAAAATATCATCATACTTCTCTTGCACAATTATTTTATAATTTGCAGATTTATTTACCGCCGCATAAAAATCGCTTTTCCATTTTTGAATAAAATTTTCGTTACTCATTTCGAATGGTATGTACAATTTAAAGTCAAAAGAGACACTAATTAATAGTGAGCTATGAAGAACAGTTCGTTTACTATTTGTTTACATCAATGCATGACTCAATACAAGCCATTTGGTAAATTGAAAAAGAAATTCTTTCAACTAAGACTATTTTCTTATGATCAATTGCGTCATAGTAATATTTTTTGCAATAAATTTAATTTAATTTAATTCAATTTAGTTTGATTTTCAATTTGCCTAAAACGGCTTTGGCAAAACCCGAATTGCCTAGGGAAATCGGGTTTTGCCTAGGCAATTCGGGTTTGGCCTATGAATCTCTAGGAAATTCGGGTATTTCCTAAAATCATAGGCAAAACCCGAATTGCCTAGGCAATTCGGGTTTTGCCTGGACTTCGGGTTTTGCCGGTAACATATATATTAACAAATTCCTATAATAATAAGACTTATTTTCGGACTGGGGTGTTTTGATTGGATATTATTCGGATTGACTGGATTAAATTCGGAATATTGCTGACTGATTTCGTATTCTTTACATATTGATTGGGGATTATTCCGTATTTATTTTAGATACATTTTCTAACGGACATAATTTCGGATTGTTGCGTAATAATTACGGACTTAATTCAGACACTTAAGATTATTCCAGACTGATTTAGGATTCACAATTTCACTCGGATTGATGTTAGATTAACGCGGATCATTTTCGTACAATTATCGGACTAATCCACACTAATATGCCCGGATTTAATTCGGATTAGTCCGACATTTTTACCAGGGATATAATATGATTCGGGTGACCGTCTATTACTGGATACTTAGCATACATATTGTTTACATATTGTTTCGTATTTGTTTAGGAATATGATTTTACCACACTAATTCCGAATTGAAGCGGACTAATGTCGGATTCTTTGTGTACAAATCTCGGATTATTTTGTATTTATTTCGTATTTATTTATTATACCTTTTAGTTGGATTAAATCCGGATTGTTGCAGACAATTTTCGGATTCTTAGCATACAGATTTCGGATTGTTTCGTACTTCTTTCAGAATAGGATTTTGCCACATTTAATTTCAAATTGTTGCGTACTAATACCGGATTTCTAGCTTACAGAGTTCGGATTGCTCCGGACATTTTGCGGTTTAAGTTTTTTTAACTAGATTAAACTCGGATTGTTGCGGACTGATTCCGTATTCTTTACATATTGATATCGGATAATTCCTTACTTATTTTAGAAGAATTCTTCACCGGTCATAAATTTGGATTGTTGTGGACTAATTACGGACTAAATTCGTAGACATTCAGGATTACTCCGGAGTGTTTTCGGATTCAGGTTTTCGTTCGGATTGATATCAGACTAGCGCGGATCATTTTCGGACCTTTTTCGTACAATTTTCGGACTAATCCGTACTAATCTGTCCGTATTTAATCCGGAATTAGTCCGAAATTTTTACCAGGGACGCAACCTGTAAAACCTGGAAATGTTAGGGAATTTTATTAACCTTGAAAAAACCTGGAAAAGTCAGGGAATTTTGATCGGAATCCTGGAAAAAATTATTCTTTTCTAAAGTTATTGTACTTATTCTTGAAATATAATTTTACTAATGCTAAGGTGACGATAAAAATCACAAAATGAAATAACTTAAAAGCTAGGCGGATATTTCGTTGTTTGAGTGTCAATATCGTTGAACGTCTTTGATTTTATAAAATATCAATAATAACAATTTAATGTTAATTAATCAATAGTAAATCAATTTTATTAAACATAATTATTTATATCAGTTACAGTTATGGAAAAATTTAATTTATAGTTTTAAGTAAAATGTTCTCTTATTTGACTCGGACTGGTTATATTTTTATCAGTAATTGGTCCGTAAAGTCCGTATTTTTAAGTACTGGGTAAGACTCCGTCAGAAAAAAAGCGATTTGCAAGTGGTCTTCCGATTTCTTCGAAACCTTGGGAAATAGAAGTCTTATATGAATTAAATTTAACCCTAAAAAGATTTTGAAAAATTTTCAAAATGGCGGCCGCTACGCCATATTGAAAATGAGTGTTGCGTTTTTTTCAAAAATTAATAACTCTGAAACTTTTAGATCGATTTTAATAAAATTTACAGGCGATATAGTTAAAAATACGTAGTTTAATTTGATATTATGAACAAAAAAAAATTTCCAAAATTTGTCAAAAAAAAAGTCAAAAAAATTTTTTGAATTAATTTTTAGTTCAGTTGGCCTAATTTTTGAATTTTCTAATAAGTAAATATCGATTCCTTGTAATTTCACCTTTCATTTCATAAAAAAAAATTTATGGAGACTCTAATAGTTCTCGAGATATTGCGACTTTAGTGGGAGCGCGTACCGCGGAATTAAACTCCGTAGCGAGGCGGAATATGAAGCGAGCGTACAAATGTGCACAATAGGGTGTCCGTAACAATTAATTTTCAAAATTTTGGATCCAATATGGCAGGTTCAAAATTTTAATTTTCTACATTTTCGAAGTAAATATTCTAAAACAACGTCAAGGGCGATATTTGGAAGCGCTATTTACGAATCTAATGTTAAAAATTTATTTTTTAAATTACCGAATCTAATATGGCATGGCGGATTCAAATTTTTTTTTTAAATATTCCTTTAATAATCGATTTTTAAGAGCAGAGGTATAAAAAGTTAAATTTCTATAAAAGAGTTTCGAAAACATCCCAATAATTATTTTTTGTAAATATTAATCTATAAATTAATATTTAGACTATTTACTTAAAAATGTAGAAAATCATAATTTTGAATCCGTCATAGTGGATCGAATAATTTGAAAAATAAAATTTTAACATTAGATTCGTACACTCAGAAAAAAATTTGTTCGAATCAACCAAATTTTGGTTAAATCAACCAAATAAATGCATTGCTATACAGTCAACCAAACGTTTGTTTGATTCAACCAAAAAATTTCTTCCAATACGTTTATTTGTATTAACCAAATGCTTATTACACTTAACCAAAAAACTTTATTTAATATAACTAAAAAATTTGTTTATTTCAAGAGAAAAGATTTGTTTGATTCAAATAAATAGTTTTAGTAAACGTATTTGGTTTATTTAAATAAATATTTTTGTTTACTTAATTTTGTTATTTATTTTCCTCTAATAATATTTGAATTTCCTAATTTAATATTTTCTAGTACGTATTATTGGTTAATTTATAATTTATTATATAATTATTGATATTTTAAAATTATACATATAATAAATTATAAATTAACCAATAATATGTATTCTAGAAAATATTAAATTAGGAAACTCAAACATTATTAGAGGAGAATAAATAACAATTAAGTAAAATATTATATATGTATTTCTTCATATAAACAAAATTACTTAATTGTAAAAAAACATTTGAAATATTACATTAAACATATTATAATTATGATTTTTATACGTGCACTCAGAAAAAAGTTTATTCGAAACAACAAACTGAAAACTTCACAAAACCTTTTTGTAAATATTCTTCTCACTGGTACAAATTAAATATGCAGTAAGTCAATGAACACAAGGTATTTAATATTTATTTAACCGACACTTATAATTTTTTTTCTTTGATTTACCGATTTAACAAATAAATTTGACGCGAACGCGGACTGTAGACAAGTGAGATCGCCATTTTTAAATTCACACATGTACAAAATTGTTTTATCGTGACAAATAAAATAGGTTAATTAAACAGTTTGGTTAAGTGAAATAAACTTTTTCTCTGAGTGTAAATAGCGCTTCCAAAAATCGCCCTTGACGTTGTTTTAGAATTTTTACTTTAAAAATGTAGAAAATCAAAATTTTGAACCCGCCATATTGGATCGAAAATTTGGAAAAATTAATTTCTGATATCAGATTCATGAAGAACGATCGAAAATAGCCCCGAGTAAGTAATTTTTTTGAATTTTTGACAACACTTATGTGTTAAAACCTTGGATATATTGTGGTGCATTTTTATGACCCACTTTAATCATCCGCCATTTTAAAAATTTTTCAAAATTAAATTTTTGGCAAAGTGCTATCTTATAGTGCAGCTAAAAATGAAGGCAAAAGTGACCTGGAGAATTTTTTGCATTAAAATTAAAAAAGTTATTAATTTTTTTTTAAAAAGTGCATTTTTCCTATGTATTTTTAATGGGAAATTTCGATGGATCTCTGGCACGTGTTAATATTAATCAATCGGCTTCAAATTTTGGGAAATTTTTTTTTATTTTATTGGAACTAAACTGGGGGGTGGCGTAAACAAAATTCGAAAGTCGCATTGTTACGGACACCCTATTGCGCACGTTTGTACGCTCGCTTCATATTCCACCTCGCTACGGAGTTTAATTCCGCGGTACGCGCTCCCACTAAAGTCGCAATATCTCGAGAACTATTAGAGTCTCCATAAAATTTTTTTTATGAAATGAAAGGTGAAATTACAAGGAATCGATATTTACTTATTAGAAAATTCAAAAATTAGGCCAACTGAACTAAAAATTAATTCAAAAAATTTTTTTGACTTTTTTTTTGACAAATTTTGGAAATTTTTTTTTGTTCATAATATTAAATTAAACTACGTATTTTTAACTATATCGCCTGTAAATTTTATTAAAATCGATCTAAAAGTTTCAGAGTTATTAATTTTTGAAAAAAACGCAACACTCATTTTCAATATGGCGTAGCGGCCGCCATTTTGAAAATTTTTCAAAATCCTTTTAGGGTTAAATTTAATTCATATAAGACTTCTATTTCCCAAGGTTTCGAAGAAATCGGAAGACCACTTGCAAATCGCTTTTTTTCTGACGGAGTCTTACCCTACTTTCACTGGTTCGAGCCCTGCTATAAGTTTCAAATATAGTTTGATGTAATGACTTATAAAATTTTGTAGGATGTCATATGCTAATATATCCTGGAGCTTTCAATCTAACAACTGGCCAACTGCATTGGACTCTTTTGCAACGTTCGCGAGCAACTGATAATCAATTATATGTTGCGTGTGTTTCGCCTGCAAGAGGAACAGGTGATGGTTACATTGCATATGGACATACCCAACTTACTGATCCATGGGGTTCTGTTTTGCGAGAATTGGAAGAAAAAGAGGATATGATAATTGAAGATATAGGTAAAAGCAAAAATAAAAACTTTAATAGAAATGTTTCTTTTTTTATAAATCAAAAGTGTGAAACTCCTAACAACATCCGGATATTCAGGATATCCGTCAAACCTTCTAAAGATGTCCGGGAATTGACATCCTAGGAATATTCTGATTTCCGGACATGACTAGGATGTCCGTAAGTTATCCTGTAATATCCATTGCTGGTAGGGAAGTGAAGATTATTATGAAATATTAATGAAAAAGAAATTAAATTAAACTGATAATTATTTTTAATTGACTTGTTAAAATCGTGCGCTTAATTTGAGGGAATGTTTCGATTTTGCGATTCCGAATAAACTTAATTATTTACTATCTGAAATAACTTATGTAAATAGAAAAGTTGTGTACTTTCGGAATCGCAATAGTCGCGCAAATTAAGCGCAGAATTTCATCAAGCCTTTTTAATAATTTACTATTTTACAGATTTAAGTATAATTGATGAGGTGAGATCACAAATTCCAATTTCTAAACAAAAGCGCACTGATTTATATGACACTGTTTGGAAAAAAACTTAAAGATGTGTTTTTTGATTGGGTTTCGCAGTGTCAATAACAAGCATTGATTGCCTGTAAATAAATACTTATGTTTCATTTGTACACAAGAAATTGAAAATTCATTTATATAACATTAAAAAATTGTATGCACATGAAATTTGCTGCTCACTAGTGGTAATTTTCTATACTATAATTGACATTATATATCCTATTGTGCACCAAAACATTATCATTTTGTGTCTGCCAATATCGAACATTCATGGATAATGATGTTAAATGTACCAGAGAAATAATAAAAACTAAAAAAGTTTGTAATGCTTTTAATTGTTAGGGCCATTTTGAACGTTTTCAAGCCTTTTCTACACTTTAAAAATGTTTACTTAAATCTAAATTAACTTCTTCTACATCATTTCTTTTTCTTCTAATTCCTCTGCTTCTTCTTCAACACTTTAGTAAAGTTCACAACGTTTATAATCAACAATTTGGAAAAAAATATTTTTCTAGTCAAATTTCTGTCTTAAAAATTTTTTACAATGTTTATCTTAATCAGAAGTTTAAAGAAGAAAATTTGAGAACAAAAACTAATTATTTTTTTCTGTGTAAAAATACTGTTTTTCCTATCATTTATCAAAAAAGTTGTAAACTTCTCTCATGTTCTTCAACAACATCCATTTCATTAGGAGAGTCATTTGAATTTGCTTCATCTGTTGTAGAGGGATTCCACACGGGTATATCACACAGATGTATGTGAGAAGTTACCGATTTGTCTCAATGGTTTCTAGACGTATTCTACCTTCAAAAATACTCAACTAGCAAAAATTTCAAGTTCCTATCTCATATAAAGAGCACACACAATCGTCAATTTCGTGAAAAGTGCCATTTTTCAAAACTAAAATTAAAAAATCCATTTCTGCTTGAAAAAATGTCAATTTGGTCTAAAAAAAATTGGAAAAATATTAGTCGATGGATGCGCAGTAGATAACGAAACTGCTCTTTAAAAAAAAATTATAACTCAAAAACACCTGTTGCGATTTGACTCAAATTTTTAAGAAAAATAGTTGAAAAGCTGTACTTTAAAGTTAGAGTTGTGCAAAAAGCTCGATCGAGTATTTCAAGCTTTTCGTTTTTCTATCAGAGCTGAGCAGAATCAATCCAAACTTGAACCAAATTCCATCCAACCTAAAATAATTTTGAGCACTTGAATTTTTCGAGCACTCAAATATTTTTGAGTAACTAAAACTCGAGCCTGGCTCGAGTATCGAGCCCGGCTAGAGCTCGACCATGCTATTCGAGCTGTTTGCACACCTCTATTTAAAATGATTTTACTGGAAATCTATATTGAAACTTATTTTTTTTATTTTAGACAAAATTTTAACAGCAAAAACAAATACAAGTTATAATTAAGAGTATTAAAAAGGTGCGCATGACTCTTAGGGTGGCCCAAAAAAATTTTTTAGTGGAAAAAAGAAAGAAAACCCTGCAATTTGTTCCAATGCAAAAAAAAATAAATACGTATTTTTCTATTTTAAAATATATTCATATTAACAGGTGCCACCGAGCACTTTAATTTTCCCATGTAAAATGCATAGGAAAAATTTCAATTTTCGAAAAATCAAAATCATTCGCGAGGGTTTCAAAAAAGTTAACATTAGGCTACTAGGATTTATAGAGGACTCTCCACCAAGTAATTTGACCTATATAACTTATTTTTGTCCACCCCAACCCTCTACAGCATTACCCCAAAGTTACCCCTTTTTGGATATTTATCATTTAACATGTGTTTGTGGTATAATATCGATTTTTAACGTTTTTTTGTCGGATCTTGTGTTTATAAAAAATACGTATTTATTTTATTTGTATGTATTTATTTTCTCTTACGGAAAAAAATGACATGAAAAACATGACACTCATAAGTGTCATATTTTGAGTATGGTTATTTCGCTACCACACTCAAAAAATGACACTCTTTACGTAGTTCGCTCAAAGCTCCGTAGGAGGTGTTGCTTCAAACTCTTTCGCAACTAACACGAAACTTGAAAAGTATATAAGGAGGCAGCATTCTTACGAATATTCGCGGAATTTTATTCTGTTCGTTATCTCTCCTGTTTTTGCAATGGATGCAAATAATTTTAATTTGTTAAATCAGCCATATTATTATTATTGATTAGAATTATAATTTTTCAATCGATGTTTATCATGTATTATTTTCCATGTCGTTTTTTGAGTGTCATTTTTTCAGTGTGGTAGCGAAATAACCACACTCAAAATACGACACTCATGAGTGTCATTTTTTTAATGTCATTTTTTTCCGTAGGGGTTTTTTTACTTTCTACCTTCGAAGCAAACCACATATCTGAAATTCAAAGAATCACAAGACCACAGGATTGGAAATATATTTCAACAAAGGAGAATCCTGCAGATGCAATCTCACGTGGACAATTACCTTAAGATTTTCTAAGCAATCACCAGTGGAAGACTGGTCCTTCTTGGCTGATTCAACCAGAAAACACGTGGCCTGATTATCAATCTGAAGGGATTAACACTGGAAATCCAACAAAAAATTGTAATGAATTGCCTTCCAGAAATTAAATGGTGCATATGGAAGCGATACTCTTCACTGATTCATGTTCTTGCGCTCTGTTTGCGTTTCTTATGCATTTTGCGCAGAGAGCAGGTTCCTGTCGGCCCATTATCTGGCGAAGAGATAAAAACAACTTTGCAGAGAACTTTGCCTGAATCCTGTGATCGAAAACAAATTATTGAAAGTCGAAGGAAGGATAAAAAATTTGGACTTGGGATATGATCAAATCCATTCTACTCCCCAAGATCATCCTGTAACCAATCTTATCGTCAGAGAAACTCATGAGAGGTTGATGCATGCGGGAACAAATGCGACTCTACAATCTCTACATGCAACAAGAGAAGAATATTGGATTGTGGATGGCAGACTTGTCGTCCGAGGAATTATACATTCTTGTGTAAAATGCACACGAGCGAGACCAAAGGAGATAATGTATCAAATGGGTGACCTACCGAAGGTCAGAGTTACAGAAACAGTAAAAAAAAAAAAAAAAATTGTGCAGTGGATTAACGCGGAGATTTCTTTGTTAAAGAGAAAAAGCATTGTAATCGGAATAGAGTTAAAGTGTATGCTGTCATTTTTCTTTGTCTTGCGACGAAAGCAGTTCATATTGAACTTGTGTCTTGCAGATTCTCAAATTGAGTGGAGATTAATTCCTCCACGAACGCCACATTTCGGAGGAATTTGGGAAGCTGACGTGAAGTCTCTAAAGCATCATATGCGTCGAACACTTGGGGATACGCTTTTTACATTTGAAGAATTGTCGACATACTTATATGACGGAAATCGAATCGATTTTAAATTCTCGACCGCTTACTCCCCTCTCGTCTGACCCGAATGATGTTTTAGCCCTTGCACCGGGACATTTTTCAATTGGTCGCTCATTGCTGACTGTTCCATCAAATGATTATTTTGCCATTCTTGTAAACAGACTGTCTGCGTTTCAGCACATTAAGAAATTAAAGTTAGATTTTTGGAAGCGGTGGCACCACGAGTATCTCACAGACTTAAATGTACCCACACAGGGGACGCATGAATCTTCCACATATCCCATTTGACATAATAACAAGTAACCGAAATTCACTTCGCCGAATCACCAGTTGCCATAAGCTATATTTATTAGAATTATTATTTAATCTAATTTTCATTTTCCCGATGATTCATTAGCTCTAATTTTTATTTTGCAGATATATTACTTAATAGAGATTTCGTTAGCCCGAAAAAACATTTGACATTATTTTCATTTGTCCAATTAATTGTTTGGACTAATTTTCGATTTTCCGATATTTCATCTGGTAAAATTCCTATTTTTCTAAATCATCAATTAAAATTTTTTTATTCGAAATGTTTTTTAACCTAAATATCAATTGCTCTAAATTATGAGTTATAAATGTCATTTAATAGAAATGTCATTCGTTATAATTACCATTGACTCGAATAATTATTTACCAGTATTTACTTTTTACAGAATTGTCATATAAACTATATCCTATTTGCTCTAATGTTTATTTAACAGAAATTCACTTACCTCGAAGTAGCATTCAGCCGAATGTTTATTTGTCAGAAAGATTATTTAACATAATTTCTGTTTTGCCGAAACTTTATTTCACCTAATTTTAAATTGTTTCATTAATTGCTTAACATAAATCTATGTCTACCTTATTTTTATGTGACATATTGTTCTTTTATTCGAATTGTCAAATCGTCGAATGCTCAGAACATCGAATTGTCAGTTCGTCGAATGCTCAAATAGCACTGGTGCTAAATGCTCAAAATAATAGCTGTTTTACGCGCATGCAGTAAAAAGTTGTTCTCAACAATTTTGGCTGTTTTCGGCACTCATCCCGAGTTAACTCCGGGTTAATGGTGATTGGTTAGAACAACGGAATGTTTGTGATCATTGGATAATATTTAACTCAGGGTTAACCCTGGGTGAGTGCCGCAAACAGCCCAAGAGTTATTTCTACATGGTTTTTTTGCTTTTGGATGTTAAAGTTGAGGGTTTGAGCTATCATTTAAGCCACATTTGAACTTTTTATCACGTCGCGTTCTTTTTTATAAAGGTTCAAAAAGTGCCAAAAATAATATATTTTGACACTTTGACCCCGTTTTTCTCAAAATTGAGACCTGATGGGACGATTTCACTTACAGATTCGTAATCTCCCAGATAACAATCGTGCCTCGCACGTTAGTGGACCAATGGTCTGCGGACCACAGTCAGGCTAATGTGATGTCAGTGCACCAGACAATTGGTCCGAAGACCATTCGTGCCTAGCACGTTGGTGGACCGATGGTTTCCGGACCATGGTCAGGCTTATGTGCTGACTATGTGCCAGGCAGTTGGTCCGATGACTATTGTGTCAGCATTGTGCATAAATATAATCTGTCTGACTTATTTACAAAGTAAAGAAGTTTTAAACCTGTGTTCAAGTTATATCTTTTCTACAAATTGTTTTTATCAACAATTTAGTCATTTTGACCAATTTATATTACTTCGCACTATTTCTATATATGTGACCTGGTCTATGAAAAGGGCCTGCTTACGTGTCAAAAAAGCATTTTTCACTTTTTTGTTGATTCGAATAGTTTTAAACGTTTTTTAAGATGGTGAAACCAAAAAGCTATAATTTGATTAAAAGTTTTTAAACAAATTTTTTAAAGTCAAAAGAAACAAGAGCGTAAAATTACGAAAAAACTCATTTTTTGTTATCATACAAATTAAAATAATT